TCAAACCATTCAGTATAAAAATAAATAAGCTCTCTATTCTATATAAATCCAACGACACGTTAACAGTAGATATATTCAACAGAATTTGTTAATTCTTACACGCTAGGGATGAGAGGAGTCGAGACAGGGAAACAGCCATCGATCGTCGATTTCGACGAATCGTCGACCAACGAGAGATCTCTGTTTTTCTTTCTCGCCTCGTATATAGATGTCTATGTATAAACGTATATTACATTCACGATAAAGTGAGCCAGTAATTTATAAGCGATGGCCAGCGGGCCGTTCGGACCGTGGAAACGTTGAATCGAATCGAGAATGAATTTGGTCGGTTAATGCGATGTTTCTCAACGTTTTAATTAAAATTTCAAAGTCCCGCCTCCCTCTATGTCTTATATCCGGTGTCAGCTACAAGAGAGGATATCGAGACGTTGGATTTATTTACGCCTGTCGATAGCAAAATGGCTAGCAAAACGTCCACGATTTTTTTGTAATTATAGCTCGTGCGCTTCCTTTGGGACAGTGTTTCCAAAGTATAGGATGCCTCGAATCGATAAATATTGAATTATTGTAATTTTGTTCCTTCGTGGAAAATAATACGTTACTTGAAACAATCGATGCGTTATTGATCCCTGTTTAAGCGTTTCTCGTGATTATTGGTGACATCTGTACGAAAAATAAGTCATAGAAATTTTTCTTTTATTTAAACCACTGCGTTGTCGGTCTCCTGGCTTGGTCGACTGTTCCCAAGCGAATCGAAATTAAAAATGAAGCAAACGAGAACGGTGACGAAGAGACAGAGGGAGGAAAAAGGTTAATTGAAAAGCTTGAAAAATCTGGTCCAGTATTTTGATCGAGCAATCAACGTTTCCACGATTCCTCGCTGTTTTCCATTAAATCGACAGATTCCGAAAGTCCAGCGAACGTTGCAACACGCTCACGCGTATCGTTTACACATCCATTCATTAGTGTACGGTTCTAACGATAATCCAAATAAGTAGTCAACCCCTTCGTGTCCACTGTTTTGAATCCCCCATTGTCTTCCAACAACGAACGCGTTAATATTTCTCTCGACAGCTTGTATTTGCGATTAATTGGACCGATACGCGTTTAAGTAAATAATAGTCGCTGGATCGAAGGACAGACACGAAAAAGTTCATCCGAAACTAAGAACGTAAATGCATGCAGCTATATAATTAACCCCGGAAATGTACGTTTCGTTGATCCTTCGACGCGATTATCAGCTAAATGAGGATTCACCGATGCGACAGCGTCCGTGATTTATTCCGTCGCGTCGTAAACCTTTCGACTGCTGCAACAGCAGTCTCCAAGATAGTTAAATTAAACACTGGATAAGCAAACTTAAGCTTCTTCGTTCGATTCTAACGTACAGCGAGTCGGTATTGTTCGCAAATATAATTACAGAGGCTCTTTTTATCCAGCAGTGGAAAGGTCAACGGCAGGAACGACGGAAAACAATGCGAAATGGCGAAGGAAGATTCTGTTTCGCGCGAGTCGGTTCGCAGAGAGGTTTGAGCATACGGTTTTCGCGAGTCTACGGTGAACAAGCGCGTGAACTTAGCTGCCATCGAGATATCTAACGTTATCCATTTTGTTATTCTTATCCTAGTAAATTCGCGCATCGCGCAAGATCTCCCTGAAAAGTCACCGTGCTTCCCAGCGAAACCTTTGAATCGCGCGACCAGCGTCGGTCAAGCGTAACTGCATGTTCAGGTCCCTTTTTCGTTCGTGTGCCCTAATTTCGAATAATTGCGAGTCCGCTATCTTCGTTCCCATTCACGCAATATTGTTTCTGTGTACGTGTACGTGTGTGTGTGCGTGTGTGTTCTCCCGGTGTGTTTCTCTTTATATTGTTGGCCCTTCTTTCGTATTTGTACTTCGTTGTGCACACGCATAGCACTCGTGCCCCCCGGTAGTTTCGCGAGCTCTCGTTGGCTTCGTTATTACGTTGTTGATTTTTCGCTCGACTCCTGACAGTTCGCGGAAAATCGTTTCGTTTGCAGAATTCGCCAATTTCACCCATCGGTCGAACAAAGTGGACGCTTTGTTCCGCGATTGTTCCGTGTCGTACGAAGGAGAGGCTGGAGCATTTTTTACGCGAATTTCGCCGCGCAGAATGGACGTTTCGACTCGAAATGCGCGAAAGGTCCGACCTCTTCGACCCCGTTTCGCACCTCCGACGGTTCCACTCGCCATCTCGAGCGATCATCGGCGACAGCTGCCCGACGAAGACGGTTTCGGGGACGTTTACATCGACAAAAGTTGTACACTCACGATACAGATTAATATAACGCTAACTCGTACGGACGATTATGTATGGACCCGTGTTCGAATCGTCGCGCGATCGTGGGGCTTCGTTTTCGCGCCCGGTCGCGACTCTCGACGCGGTGAAATTTTCACTTTCATCGTTCCATATGAACATTCAGAAGCTCTATTCGGCGCCTGTTAACGTCATATTTCAGTTTTACGTGTAGAATTACCGCGTCGAAAGTCGCGACGTCAAGTGAAAACAACACATACGCGGTCTGTCGCGGAAGTAAACGAACTTCTTAAAAAATAGGAGAACGCAGCCGAGAGATCCAGTCGCTAGGAACAGTTTAAAACGAGGTCTTTGGAGGAATTTTACGGACTTTTGAGAAGTTGGTTCAGCGACAGACCGAGCATTCTGAACGCGTACCAGTACGTGTACCCCTTAAACTATCGATCTCTCCATTGGTCGATTCTTTGATAGCGATTATTTAACACACAAGTGTACATGTATTTATATATTTACATATATAGAATGTACGTGTATATATATATGTATATATGTGTATATATGTGTACAGCAAATTGTCGTCGACCGTTTGCAGAGTACGGCGTAGAATAAAATCTCTGGATGCGTTGGTTTAATTGACACTTACTGATCTTCCCCTCGGCTCGTCCCGAGCGATATTAGTCGTACCCTAGATAGACAAGATCCGAGTTCCTAGAGAAACGCTCTAGGTGATTAGTTTAAACGGAAAGTTACATCACCGCGCGTTCGCGTGGTCTCCATTTAAGAGGAACGACATGCTACCATGCGTCTTAAAGTAGTAAACAGACAAACGGTTCTCTAGTTAGGCTGTACAATTGTATCGAGTTGGTTATCATACTTGAATCTTCACGGCTAGTAACGGCTTGACAAACAGACACAGAACGGAATACATCGTTGTTGTTTAACACCGACACTTTGGGCGCGTATCTCGTCGCCTGGATCCGAAGACACGGATCGAGGATCGACTAAACACCAAGCGCCATATTTTACTTCGATCGCGAATTAGTTCGCTTTAACCGTTAACCGATTGCACGTTGTGGAAATTATATTCGATCCATAATATGCTTTAACTAACGTTAAAGAACGCGACATTTAGATTTAGTGATCGACGAATAAGAAATATAAAAGATCGTCCGATTCGTTTTCTGTTTGCTGGTAACGAGAGGATTCGGTTTCACGGCGGCCGTAATTAAAAGGTTGGTTAACGGAAACGGGTCGAACGGTCGTTTAGAATGCAAATAAATACGCGAGCGTCGCGACGCCGGGCTCAGAAGCGATCCGAATAAATGAGAAAAAGAATTGGAAACGCTAGGCTATCGGTTAACGGTTAAAAGGATTTGGTTTCAACTGCGCTTCGCGTAACGGTCAATATGAATGAAACCCCATAACCGCCGATAAAAACATTTATAAAAAGTAACACGTACAACAAAAAGTTCCCACCAACGGAGTCTCGTCGTCGCAATTAAACGTTGCCCGGTCGATAGTCGCGAGAACCTCGTCGATCCATTTGGACAAAAGTCATCGTTCGTTCCATTATTCACCGATTCGATTCAAGCCTCGAAAGCGCGGAAAGAAGCAACAAAAACGCTTACCCCAGATTTCTCCAACAAACATTAAACACCTCCACTCGTTCCTTATGAGACGAATGTTGCGTGAATTTTTTAAAAAATACAATTCAGAGGTAATTTTGCATCTTCTTTCCTTGCCAAGCATTCTCTTTGGTATCCCTTGCGACGTATGGTCTTCGCAAGCTATCATAATCGTTTCACGAAACCCTTAAGATACGTTTCTCGAGTGTTAAATTTCATTCATGATATATATTTTATGCGAGACGAAGTCATCAAGCCTTCCCTTTCCATAGTGTTTTGTTCTTTGATACTCTTCCTCGCAAAATGTATTTTCGTTTCGTCAAATCCTTCTTTCGTAACATTCGTGAAATATATTCTTGCCTCATACGCGAGTTGTTCAATCTCCTTTTTGAAATCCTCAGAATCTGCTCATGAGGTATTCTCTCTCTTTCCAATCCACAGAAATGCGTTTCTCTTGCGAAGTATTCAATATGCTTCGCGAAGTCCTCAACAACCTTTTCACGTTGAAATCCTCGAAATAACCATTCGCTTCTAAAATCAATTTTCTTCGCGAATTCTTGAGACACGTGTCTTCGTATCTTTAATTCCTCCACCCTCGATGCGAACTTTTCTCTTTTCTTTTCGCAACTGTTGCTACCGAACTGTTCACCCATTAATGTGAATCTTTATATCCGTTTCCTTAGATGCACTTAGTCCGACAAGTTCTTAACAGAAAGAACTCGAAACTTCTCTAACGCGTTTGGTTCGTTGGGTTTTAAAGCTGTTAGCGCGGTATCGTCGAAAGTGCAGCCGGAAAGGAAGGTTGGCGAAAGTGTTTCGAACGGATCCGCATTGGCAGCCTCGCGTCGTAGGATTCGATTCGGTGAAGTAGATTCGGCCGATCGACTGGCAGATCGACGACGAAAGGGGCCTCTTTCGGACGTATCGATGAGCAAGTACGATTTTTAATTGCAATTGCGTGTAGTTTAAGAGAGTGCACGACCCAGGGAAAGGAAAGTACTAAGAAGAAACGGATTTACTACCTTGCAAGATGTCCGAAAGGGGCCTCGAGATCCAACATAAGCTTTTCTCCATTCCTCCTGGAAACAAAGCCCGCACGAAATCCTCTTGGCGAAGTGTCGTCCATTCCTACGCGGTATCAGCCACGTTTTCGATAATGGTTCCTAAGAATCCCTAGTTCCAGGACACCCGTATGAGATCGAAAGCTCGTTGCAACGATCGTCGCGATTATCCTCTCTGGCTTCATCGAGAGAACTGCCTGGGTCTTCTTCGATCGAGCTTTATCGAGATTAATCGCCTTTCGACGACGCTGTCGGTCATGCTCCTGGTGTAATGTAACTCTTAGCGTCGCATCGTGTTGACGGGGAATCTTTGTCTACGTTTGCCTCTTCCGCCGGTGGAACGTCGTTTTCCTGAAAATTGGTAAGTCACGATCTTCGTAGTAGTTACTGTTCTACGTCGGGTTAGTCGTATCCCGCGGGATTGCGAGCCCCTCTGTTATTTTCCACTCTCTTTTTCGTTTCGACGTCTATGTCCTGTTGCTCGGATAGGTATAATCGCGTCTCGTTCAGACAATTTCGCATGGCCTCGTCGTCGGAAACGCTCGCGGAGCTTTTCAGATTCTCGCTGTCCTCGTTCTGCTCCACGACGGTCTTCAATGTCTGCCCTTGAACGTAACAGATCTCCTTGTCCCCGGCGTCGATGTTCCACCTCCTCGCGGTTGTCACTTCTCGTACTCGTGCGGATCGTCGTGGTTATTTGTATCTGGAATAAACGAAACGAGTCGCGACGACGGTCAGTCGTCGAATATTTACCGTCTTCGGCGTTGAGAAAGAATAATGGCCAGCACCGAACCGCGTGAAAGATTCCGTCGATCTAAAGATAGGGTCTCTCTACTCGCGTTTCCCAAAGCGCCCGATATCGAAGTAGTAAGAGTCAACGATAGCCAGCCAGGCTCCGGGGATAGACGTTTCCCCCATCTGGGCGAGATAAAAGCTTGCCCTTTTCCCGGCCAAGCTATCCCCGTTCACGAACATTGAGATAAAAAAAATGATCGTGCTCCGTATTGCACGTGATCCCGTAACAAACGCCACGAAAGAGAACCAACGATCGCGTGATCCTACCTCCGGTCATTTTCCGTCGATCACGCGAGTCGCTGAACGCGAAGATAGGAAGAAACGAGAAAAGGGTGGTCCTTATATTTTAACTTCGGAATTTTATCCGGTTTCGCCCTTCAGAATTGTTTCCACCGTTGAGAAAACTTCAAGGTCCGCTAGGAACATTTTCCCGTTACGCAATTGAGCTTGCGTATATATTACTTTCTATAAGTATATAAAAATTCTCCGCTATCTTTCTATTCGTCTTAGAACAGTCTAACAACGCGTATTAAAAATACTGAAACTTTAGATGCGTGCAATTCCGAAACTACTAGGGTTTTATTAATTATTGAGCCACTGTTAGCGGCTGTGAAGCTTCCTCTTTAAAATGGTTTTTGGTTTTTGTCGATCCGACTTTCCGTTTCGGAGATATCGTAATTTATGTAAAAGGTAATTTTTTCCAATTCGACTATCTCTGTCTTCGTCTGACGCGTCGCGCCGGACCTCTCTTTCTCGCACGTGACTCGTGACCGAGCGGCCGAGTGACCTAGTTCCCACGCGTCACGTGCCGGTCAACGACCTTGACAAGGCCGTAGTAAGAATGTAAACAAACGCTTCGGTCCCTCGTATCTCCCAAACTAGCCACTGCATCGACTTGAAATTAAAATCGCTATATCTCCGGAACTAATAAAGCTATCGACTCGTACAAACGCTCATTTTAAAGGGCATTTCATCCCCTATCCGATGACCCTATCATCTAATATTATTTATGTCATCTTCTATGTTTATTTTAACATTTACTTTGACTCTACACACCCAAAGAAGTTTTAGCACTTCCTATTAATCATAAATTATTTATTTAATTGAAAATGTATTTAAATTTGTATGCAGGATGTTTGAGTAATTACTAGCCAGCATTATTTCCTAAATAATGAACAAAATATTAAGGAATGTTTTGTCTACTATCCGATGAAAATTAAATTAAAAATGAAAGACAGATCATGATATGAGTGGGTATACGCGAAGTGTCTGTAGGTTAATATTGTTTCAATTTTTGTTCGTACTGGAACCAATCTAGGAAGGAGACTGAAAAAGCTCGGAAATAAATTTCAGCCGTCTATAGTTAAGGACCAACCTATTTTCTAGTTGCACGCGAGACGGGAAGCGTGTTTCGTTCATCGTCGCGGGCCGGCGATACGCGTCGAGCGGGCTCCTCGGTATTTATGAGCCTTTCTCGCGGACACGCGACCAAATTCGTTGACCTACTATTTTGCACGTAGATCCAGTTAACGCCGGCCGAGTATGCACGTGCACGTACGCCGGGTGATTGCTTTCCGAGTACGGAATATTTAGCTTCGATGGCGTACGCGGAATATTCGCGTCGATGAACGGTGACCCAATACCCTCGCGGAACGGGTGCAGAGCGTTTCCGTGGAAGCGACGATCGTTTCGAGTATCGGCAGGCTTAGCGCGAAAGAATTTGTTGACATATCGGATGGCTTAATCCCCCTCCAACGGTCTCGATACGCGATATTTTTAGTTCCTTTTTCTTTTCGTTTTTATTTTCGGTGTAACCGTTTCGCCCGTGACGCGTGAAATTTAACACGTTGAATTTCGTGAGTTTTAAAACAACGCCGAAAACAAGTTTCCAGGTTATTTTACATTTTCCCACATTCCCTACGCGTACGCGTACATCAAAAGCATACTTTCGTTTACTCTTTTGACAGAGAATGCATGTATTTCGATATCGCCGAATAAACGAGTTATTTAATCGCTGAAATTAGTGTGACGTTTTCGTGTAAATTCCGCGAATCGATTAACAACGCAAAATAGAGATTACATTTTTATTTCGAGGTATTCCGAGCCCAAGAATGTAAAAAACTGTAATAAACTGAGAAAAGAAGTTCGTAGAAATACAGTGGCACACGCCCAGGAAAAGGGCAAGAAAATAATTGCATACCCGTGGGTTACTAATATTCGTTTTTCATCCATTATAATTTTGTTATCCCTCCATCTAAATGGAAAACATTACGTCTATTTTCGTCTATGGGAATGACATCATTCTACCATTCGTTTTCTTTATAAATAGAATCTCTCGCGAAATTCGCATGGAAACGAAGAGCGAAAGGTAACTGAAATTAGTCTTTCCTTTTTCGAATAATATTCATCGTCGAATTTTGGAGTTCACCTTTCGGAAACACTCTGTACACGCAGGAATTTGCGGTGAATGTGGATCACCGCACCGTATCGCGTTTTACCTGGGAATCGCATCGGCTGAATTCCGCGGTTCCGTGATTTAATGATTCCCGATGAAATGTATCGCGAGGATGGGGCACATTCGAATGATTTTACCGAAATGCATCTGAAACCTACGTATGTTAATAAATCTGTAACGCAGACACTTTTGTAACTTTGATTTTCCACCATATTTTTAATACTAAGCGACATCAAAGCCCGCAAATGTATTTTTAGAACTTTCGTTTGCTTTCCCGTCTGTTTCAATATTTATTCCGAAAATGGCTCATCGTATTTCTATACAGTGCGTTTGGAAGCTTTCGAATTTAAATAATAAATTATTCTGTATAGGGCTTTGCTCGAAAAATAATTTTCAGTGATTTTTTTTTTAACCAACCAGTAACAGACGGTTATTCTAACCATACCTGGTTATTTTCAGGTGCATTTCGTCTCTTCGTCGTGAATCGAGTCTCTTACCTTTGCGGTAACGGGCACGCTAAAATTCTAAAAGACGCCAGGACTATCATTACCAGCAGCGTGATAGCGACAATCGTGTATATCACTACCAGATGAAACAACGAGAATTTGTACAGGAGCTCGTTGCAATAGTCGTCAGGCGAGTAAGTAGGGCGGCTAAAGGACGGCCACATGATGCTGAGTATCCAGTAATTCCCTGCGACAGAAAATTAGAGATCGAAGCTGAGGAAAAACGAATCGTACCTTCAGCTCGAAGACGGATCGTCAAAGCTTTGCTGTGAACGATAAACTTTGAAATAATTACTCTTCCAGAGGTTCGTTTCTATCATAACATCTTCCAGCGCTTGTTATTAGACTTCTTTAGGAATAAAACGAAAAATAACTAAGACCATATGGATGGTTATCAAAATTTGAATTATCTGATGTAGTTTCGTAATCGTACGAACTCCTGAAGCACGAAGGATCATGGCAACGAGTTCGTGTTATATCGTGCTCCAAACGTGGGAGTCGTTCATCGGTAAAAAAAACAAAAGGTAGAAGGATACCTCGTATCCAAACCGATGCAATTACGTCGGAAATGTAAAAAGGTACGCTTATAACTAGGCACGATCACGAACGAATATTAGGTTGTATCGAAACAATTTGCAACCCACGTCGAGCAATTGCTCGCGGACGTAGCGATCGATGGCTTCCGGTGCATACGTTCCGGAATCGCGTCGAGACTTGGAGGTAATATTGGTTCGAGTAGTTTTCGGAACGAACGCAATTTGCGTCGATATACCACTTTAAAACTCTTCGTTCCTGTTTTTCTTTACTTTATACCGAATGATCCGCCCACTGGATCCTCAGAAATTTTACTGCAGACATTGAATTACTTCTCGCAAGAGAGGTTTAAATTACACAATTTAAATTACGTATAATAAATGAGACGAGTACTTTAAATAAAACTATCGGCAACAATACGGTGGACAAGAAAGGGTCCCCACTCTTTGAACGCGAACATTAACCGATAAAAAAACACGCCCACGCGTTTCATATTTTTCGACGCTCTATCTGCGTGCAAAGTTTTATACAAAAATCGACATTTCACGGTTGAATGACGTCCCAAGCGAGGCTGAATGCTCGGTGTACCGGACATTCGAGCACGTACGTGCGCTAACGATCAAAAATCTAGGCAGAAATATACCTTTTAAACAGCGTGACCCGAAAATGAAATTTTTTTCGCCTAAGCAGTCGATTTTTTATAATACACAATCCACGAAACGTAGGAGCAATTTTATTTTTACGGTTACACGATAAATGAAGTATCGACGAACCGTGGAGCACGTTATAATCGAGAAATTATAAAAAATTTATTTAGAAGTCAACCCGCGCGCCAAGAGAAGAAGTAAAGACCCAGTATTTCTCTCCTGTCGTCTCCTCCGTGCGTCGAGTTCCCATTTTTACTTACCCGCCACGAACCAGCACATCAGAAAGAGAGATAAGGTAACGATGATCACTTTGGAAAGGGTTACTTTAGGTCTCTGCGATAGAACCGACATAACCTTCGCCCTTCTCGATCGTATCTGCGAGTAAATCATCAACACCATCAATATCATGCCACACGCCCCGCCTATGATCATGTAAATCGGTAAGCTTTCCTCCTTCGGACACTCGTTCGAGTACTTCCAGCCTGGAACAGAATTTTTCTGATCTTTACAAGCGTATCGAACGCTTAACGCGATATGTTCGGGAATATAGACTCATCGGTATACAATAGTTTTCGAATTGCCTTGAATAATCTAAAGCTAACGACGTAGCCTGATTTCCATCCACCGTGTCAAGTCCTATTTAGATACTCGATCGAGTAACGCGACATGCAAGCCCTTTCAGGGGCGTTCTGACGATCATTTATTAACAAACGTCGGATTATTTTTTAAAGAATCGTCGACCGACTTATTACGATTGTCCTCCTTCGTCGACGCGTTCACCGTGACAGTGTCCCTCGTTCGATCGATACGATTAATTCCGTTGTGCCTCGATAAAACGTTCTATCGATTACAAGATTCACCGATTTAGATCAAACGAATCGTTCCAACTTAAGAACTATACTGCATTTCGGTGCTTCTACTTTTCAATATTAACTATAATCGAATGTGTAATGAATACAAATCTTCAACTGCACCTACTCTCGAGTGAGTCATACTATTGCTTTAAAATCACAATCACTGTAAATTACTGAGATAGAATGTTTATCCTAATTATAGTAATATGTAATTTCGTGTCAATAAATGGTGTTTTGTCAACCCTCCAAACTTTTATTTATTTCGTAGACTGGGGCAAACAGCTCCCCAATATAGTGTTAACGAGGTTAGGAAGCACCAAGTTATATTTGTCTTGCGAAGAACAGGAAGTTTGCCAGGAACATTTACACTGTAGTCTAAGATTATATTCCGATCCCAAACAATATCAAACCCACGCACACGAACAGAGAAAGGCAGAAAACTGTCTGAAAACTACTACACCCAATTAAGGAAATGAATTTCGTTATTTTTCAATGTAAAAAAATTGTTATCTCCATAATTTCATATTATGATCGTATGGAATAGAGTTTTTGTGTTCCAGGTAGGCCGCGGAACGATCAATGGTGGAACGAAGCCCGCGCGAGCGTTCACCGAGGGTAATTCTAATTTCCACGTCCACATACTCTGTATCGATCTAGAGAGGGTTCTATACGCGACGGTTGCTCGAGGAAGAGGTGAATGCGCCGTCCTGGCGAATCTATGCTTCGCAGGAGCGAGCAGCGGGCATGAGCTAAAAACTAAATAGGCTTGCATGTCGTAAGTAGCGCACGCCACCGGTTCGCGTGTCATAAACTCGTCAATTAGTTCGGAAACGATGCCCGTGTTTCGACGAGATCTCGAAACGGATCTACAGGGTCGCCCAGCGCGTTCGAACAAGGATCGATCGAGTATCATTGGACGTTAAAGCTTGATAAAGGAAAACAGAGGGTGGAAATTAACATTGTAACATCGAAATCATTATATATTACGTTTTAAAATAAACGATGACTTTCGAGACACCCTCACACGCGTTATTAAGCACTGCTCGTCGTATATTAAAGCGTTCGTTTCAGAACTTTTATTAAACGGCACCTACGATGGAACATAATTTCAAGCGCGACGACCTGTGCTATTCCGCCATCGTTCTGAAAGCAATTGCAGTCGCGAAGAGGAAATATCACTTCGGTGCGTTTTAACCAAACAGAGTTCTCGAAGGGATGTATGTCAGTCAGAAAATTGTTTAGGGACGATTTTTCCTCTTTACGTTTCAAATTACGCGGTCAACAGACTACGAAGGTAATTGATGCGACTCGCGCTAATAAGCTGCTTCAATATTGCCGGAGCACTTTCGTCGCATTGACGTCGAAGCGCATGCAAATTGCACCTGCGTGCACTTCACACATTGTTTCCCTGTGTAAACAGCCTACAAAATGGAACGTTTCGTGCAAAGAAAACGATCGTGACGATACGAGAAATCATCTTTGCAAACTCGTCGTTTCGTGCGAGCCATTTGTTGGGACAATTGTCTCGAATACGAAGCCTACGTTTTCGATTTATTGGTTGTACCGCGATTAATGGAACAGCCTGTACGTTGCATCGCGTCGGGTCGATCAAAGATGCATTCCTGCGACAAGGACGTTGATTAAGGAGCTGCATATTTCGAGCTAATTCGGGACGCGTATCTCGAGCGAGATTCGTGGTACATGAAAAATTAATTCTTTTCGTTAATCACGTCGCCGCGAGCGAATTCTCGCAGGATTTCCAGGATGTCGCGATCAACCCAGGACTAACGGAGGTGGAAGTCACGGTTTCGCTAATTATCGGCGAGCCCAGTACCGAGCAAAGTATCGATTCGACGAACACTTGGACAGCCGGCGAAATATATTTGGCAAAAGCCGGGCAAACGTGTTTTACTAATTGCGTGGATAAATATAGACCCGCGAGCGCTTGTCTTTAATCGGAGCTGTTCGCAGCCGCGCGTCAAGTTGAACTAATTTCGCGCGCCGCCTACGTTCCACGGTCCAAATTACGCAAATTTCTTGCCCCGAGGATCCGTCCGTGCCCGGAAAAAAAAAAATGAAAGAATAACAATGCAAACAGAGAAGAACTAATTGCACGGTCGACGTTTGCTTTCCGGGATGGTTCTAATTCCGGCGCTTCTCGACCTTACGAGTACGTGGAATAACGTGCAACCCGGGACTTCACTCACCGAAGATCAGCATCAATACCGGGAACGTGAACAGACACACCAGACACACTGTCACCACTCGCGTTTTAAAGACGACTTTCAGCGCGCGGAACACGAAATCACAGGTGCCGTTCGCCTCCAAATTTGCATCCTTCAGCTGGAACACCACCGAGCCGTACGTTATCACGCCCAGATTTCCGTTCTCCAGGGTGTTCTTCGGCACTTTCGCCACGCTGTTGAACAGTCTGCGTGACTCGTCGCCTGAAAACTGAAAATTAACGCGGTCTCGTGTTATTGGGTCGCCGTGCGCGACAGATCGTCCCTCCGAAGTTACAATTTTAACGAGTTTAACGCTGTATATTAACGGGGACATTATCAAATTTGAAAACTTTAGATTCGATATTAGTTCGACATGTTTCCTCAAAAATTAGAGACACGATGCTTAAAAAAGAAAGCAACGAATAAGACGAAAATTTTGCTCGAATAATAGTTACAAAATACTAAAGTACGTTTCGATAATGGCCGCTTTTGTTTCAAAATGAGGAACGTCGAATGCTCGTTACGAGACCCTCGTGAAACTCGAGGGTTTCGAGCGGAGTTTTTGGCGATTTTGGCAACGGAAAGGCCCTTCTCCGTGTATTTGTCGGTCGTTGCTGCAGATGCTGCGTTTCACGTCGAGCAAGACACGGGATTGGATAGAGGAAAGGTCTGTGGAATACGCGACAGGGTGAAGAATAAGCGCGCGGGCTGACGGCGAAATTGCTGAACGCATCGTTACCCTTCTGCGCCGTGCAACGTTTTCAACGTTACAGCTGGCGAAAATTCAATAACCGTGCCGATGACGCGAAGGAAAACAATTTCAGACGGTCGTAAATTACCTTTTACCCGCGGAATATTCCGTCGAAACGCGCGAGCGTGATCGTGATAGCAAAAGTGTTGACGTTTAAACGACGGCCTCGCTGAAATTGCACGCTCGTCGATGATTTTCTATAAATCGTCGCTATTTTTTTCGACGAAATGGGAAAGAACAAAGTACGGAGAAATGAGGTGAACGCATTTTGGAAATTGCAGGATCTGCCATGCGCTTTGCTTAACGAAATTTGAGTATACGGAAAGGAGCTTTCGGTTCCTTCGAAAAGGCGACTCGTCGAGTTTTCGTTCGTGGAAATTGGTGTATTTGTAATTTAATAGATTAATATTCCTTGCCTGAGACACGGAACTGCTGGCTCGTCTTGAATCCTCCACAGCGTTCTGTCCGTATCCCAGATTGATCTGGATCGTACTTCCGCCAGACTTCACGCTCCCAGAATTCACTTCTTTCGTTCGGTAAGGCGAAGAATTTCTGCTTCCGCTCAAACCTGAGCAAACCAAGAGCGCAACATTTATCCCGGATAAAAATTTTCCTCCGATACATTATACGCGCGTTACAACCACTTACACGCGTCCAACCAATTATTCAGCTTTTCATCCGGTCGTGATTTAATTTTATTTTCTTCACCAATTAAAATTATTATTTCTAGTCGACGAGCAACGAATACGAAATTTATTACCTCCGATCCCGTACTCGAAATTTATACACGGACGAGAATCTCTCCCATCCCTGGCGCGAATCACATTTATCTCGTTCCGAGAAATTAATGTTCAATGCGCACCGTTCGGTACAAAGAACAGGAACGTGGCGGTAACTTCATTTTCACACTCCGGAGTATCGTTTATTAATGTGGAGTTAAATAATAAAATTGTTCATTACTGTTTAATATCTATGCATGAAGTATCAAAATAAAATTGTTATGCACCGATAAAAATATTGAACCTTCAAATATTGTGCTCCATTAATTTCTCACTGGGTAATAAAAAAATAATCGTGGATATTTTTCTGTTTGTTATCGAATTTGAGACCTGATTGTTAGTAACTATTGCGACGTGGCGAGCAATAAAAGCACCGGTTGCCACGATCCTACGAAGAAAACGATACCCGATTCAGACATACGTCCTGTCGCTGCGGGGGCGGACAATCGCCCTCTGGCTGTCTAGACAGACAAATTGAAAGAAATAAATTTCGTTGACTCGCGTTGCTCGTCCCATCTTCCCTCTCGTCCCACGTGTCTCTGAACAATTCAGGAGACAGTCTCGATACGAGAGACAAAACTGATGCTATGTATTTATTACGGGAACACCTTCACTCGCGCGTCGACAAAAACCAGTTAATAATTTTTTCCCCCTCGAGTTTCCCCGTTGTCTCGTTTTTTTTTCTCGCCAGATCCGGTCGTGGAAGAGTCTGGAGGACGAAAAGTGTGTTGCAGCAAGTAATTCTTAACGCATCGGCAATTTATCGACTGCCTTCGAGCAAGTAAACGTTGTCTCGCATTGTGACCGCAATCTTTCAATTTATCGCGTCGTTCTATAAGCAACGCGTTCAAGGCGAAAGTAAACGATTCACTGTTTCCCCGGGTTTCTTTCTCGTCTTCTGCCCCCGTACGTTCTCCATCCCCCATTTAGGAAACTTATTTCGTTTCGCGTAGTTCCTTTGTCGAACGTTCCACGTCGTTCCCTTTCATTCCCGTCTCCTTTCCATCCCAATAATTTTTTATACCCTTTATACGCTCTAACGCCCGATGCCTTCGTCGACATTGTGTTTAGCGACGAGTGTGTGCACGGAATGATTTTAGAAACTAGGACAAATCGCTGCTTCCCTGGAGACAAGAAATATCAATATTTTTCTTTGAACGATTGTCCCTAAATCTAAATTAACTCCGTAACTATGCACAGTAAAAGAGAATTCGAGCCACCGTTTTATATTTTTAAAAATCTAGGACAACTTCTTTCGTTTAACCCCTTAACGCTCATGCTTGAGTCTGACTGCTTTGAAAAATGATATTTGTTTAATGGATCGATTTAAGGGATGACAATATTTGTTTTCCTTGAAATTATACGTTAGATACAACATTGTAATTAACAAAAATCACATTTTTAAACAGCTTAGAAACAAGTCCAATAAAGAAAACTGATCATTGTTGGTCCACCCGAAAAATGTGAGCGTTAAGGGGTTAATGGTTTCCGAGGAAACGGTTTCAAGTATAATATTGACACTTTGTCAGGAACACGAAACATGCTCATTTCGAGGAACATTGGCTCCTTGACAGGGCCATTTTATCGAAATTTCCGTGGCTCTACGGTGGCTGATTCTGAATATGGTCCGACGGGATCCTACTAGGGTTTCGAATCAATCCTGTATTTGCGCATGTAGGTCGCTTATGTGTGAAAGCGTGTGCCGTTGAACAGGAATGTAACGAATACGTTCGCAAGATTGGCTTAGCCAGCTTAATGCGGTAGCATCAACAACGACGAAGCTTTGGAAGGATATCCTGGTCCTGCCATTATCTGCGATACATTCAGCGATAATAGCTCCGGTGATCACGTGAGATTATTAGACTACCGGGAATGCAGATTTCGACTAAACAAACGTCATCGTAGGCCTTGGAAATTCATCTCGTCAACGAAAAATTCATTTTGGATTCGCGAAGGTTCTGCGATTTTTGGTGCGTTCTGTGACCTGGAATGTCTCAGAAAATATTCAAGTTACTTTTTTTTTTAATTCGATGCAACGCCAATCAACTTGTTCTCGGGTTCAATTCCCCTCGCTCGAATTACAGGCGAAGGTGTCGAGCTTGGTATCTGAAATTCGCCGTTGGAACGAGAGAAATTCACGACACACTTGAGACACCGCGTCAAGCTGTACTGTAATGAGCATCGAATTGCCATTAGGTTCTCGATACGGGTAAACGCAATTAAATTGCATTCAGTGCTCGCCAATTTTGCGCAGACACAACGCCCGCGCTTCGACGAGACAGGAGAATTATTCCAGATATTAGTCGAGCACGTATTGTCATTTTTAGTCAAAGGAATAGTTCGCTCGAACGAAGGCAGTCGGTGATTCGATGGAATGCACGTTTATTTTGCATCGAATTCCGAGAAATTTTTATTCCATTTTTGTTCCAATCTCGAGCACTTCATCGAGATGAAACAAAATGATTGCTCGAATGCCAAATAAACTTGGCCACCGTCCAGCCACTAAATACCTCCATTTGTTTTCGTTACTAGGAACAAACGGGGAAACAGTGTCCAGAATTTTCCGAATAAATTCGCTTTGCGCGGGCAAAAAGCTACTGAAACGCTGCACGGTTATGTTATCCAAATTGCATTACCTATATTCAGGCATTACAGGGAACTTTGTACCGCTATTTTAAGAGGATGATAGTAATAACTGGGTTAATATAATTATATCGTCGAACGGTGGGTCCGTATCGACGTCAGAAATGTGAGTTAGCACGCGCGTGTTGGTTTTTAAGGTGGCCTACTTTAAACGTTGAAAAATAAATCGATTTCATCCTCGCAACTTTTTCAAATTTAAGGTTTGAAAAATTGTCGAAACCTTGTGCAGGTAAAAATCGAATCGCTGGCCGCACACAAAGGGCTTGATTAAATGTTTGATACAAAGCTGACTCGGTTAGCGTAGGATGTAATACGATTGAACTAATCACTGAATTTCAATGGCGAACTTCGTTACAGCGTGCACAATTACTTGGGCGAATGGAACCGGCGATGTAACCAACGTTGACGAGGCTTCTCTGGAAATTACTTTTTCCTAATTGGCATTCGTAAAAACTCCTACGCTTTTAAAATATATTTTCAAAAAATCTGACACAGATATAACTAACTGTTACTGAAACTTCCTACGAAAAGTTTAGCTCTCTATCTCATCGTATTTAATTTCACGACTCTGTCTAAAAGTACAGCTTTCTAACTTAGGATGGCGGAATATCGAAATGGATTTCACATGTTAGGATACATCATCGGATATAACCCACTCACAGGGATAGGATTAGTCCTTAATCAGATTACATATTGTCCAACAGTCTGATTGACGTGCGATTACTCGTGGTCTGTAGTGTGTCTATTCGCTCGTAGACATCGAGTGTTGTTCTACGTGGCGACTAGCCTACATAACCACTTGATTCGAATATCACAGACACTTGTTATCCATCCTTTGGACAACCCAAAATTAAGGATTTACGGCTCAGAAGCGATTCTGGCTCTTCCACCATGACTATACTTATTTCGAATCATGTTTATTTGTTATTAAAGAACTCAGAACTCTTATCCGGCTCTTGGCGTCCCTAGGATCAATGATCTTCTTCAGTCTAGTCGACCTAACTTGATTTGTGAACAGTATCTACCACTCTGGCCCTTTACATCAAGGGTGGTAGACCCAGAATCGCTTCCTCGTACAATAAAGGGTATTTCAACAACTCAAGAACGCTACAGTTCGCGTACTCCCCAGTAGAGGGCAACGCTTAGCTTGTCTCTCCCACAAGTACTCGACAGATTATCAAAAACTCAACTTCCTAGTGTTTACTGATAAATCTAATCTCCGCTACAACTACCACAAGAAAAATGCAAGGAAGAAAAAGAAGACTCTTGCTGAGAGTTTTACCCATTCAAGCCTCGTTCCAGTCGCGAAGGAGAATAATAAAAAATGAGAGCAACGTTGCCAGCAAAGTCCAAAAGAGTTTCTCACCCTGATCGGCGGAAGCCCTCCTCGGATCCTGGGCCATGAGGCTGGCTTTCGTGGGCCTGGTTTCCGGGAGACCGCCGAGGCTGCCCCTCGGAGTCCTGTCGATGATGTCCGGATCGATGGTGCGTCGCGGGCTTCTCATTTCTTCCTCGTTAGCCCCGATGGATCCCCTGGGAACGTCGTTGACGCCGATGCTACCGCGCGATGACCTGCTCGGTTGTGGCTCGTAAGGAGCAATCGAGTTCCTCGGACTTTGATTCAGGCACTCCGAGGCTATCGAACACCGCGGACTCCTCTGGGGGCTTCGATCGATCAGCTCCATGTTGGTGATGCTGCCGTGCGGACTCCTCGACGAGTTCGGTATCAAAGACGGCCTGGGGCTGCGACTCACCATGGGTTTACCGTTCTCCGACATCAGAGACGTCCTGGAGCCGGTCAGAGGCACCAGGCTGTTCCTCGGGCTTCTATCGTACGGCATGTCCGGGACCAACGAGTTCCTGGGACTCATGGCCACCTCGGGGACCAACGAGTGTCGCGATCCGTACATCTGCATCTCAGGCGTGACCAAGTTACGTCCGTTCCGTGGACACCTGTAGTAGTCGTCCGGCACCAAAGAGTTCCGCGGACTCCTGCTCATTCTCTGGTTGATCATGCTCCTAGACCCGCCGTACTGGTCTCGCTCCGGTAGCATCCTGTGGTTCATGACCTGAAAGGGATTTTAAATTGGCGAACGTTGCACAGAGTGAATCTCTGCGGAGGGAAACTTTTAGCAATTAAACGCAGGGAAGTTTCCCGACGGGTCGGAAATTGTTTCGCTGGACGCAAATGTACGTCGGGACAGTTGCTTTTGGAGTTGACGAGAAAAATGTATTTTAAAACATGACGTTTTGCAAAGTGACGAAATTTACTGGAAAGTGTTGTTAATAACCTCGTCGGAGGAGTCTGTCTCGGGGTCCAGAGCAATATCTGGAACGAAACTGCCTCGAGGAGATCGTTGCCGTTCCATGGTTGATCTAGGACTCGTTTGCGGCATGTCCACTGGTCTGTCGGTAGCGACGCTGGCGCGTCGTCCCCTTGGCCCTGCGACCGCCGTCGCACCCCTACAGCGTCGCGACGATGTGCTTCGATGCAACATCACTGGGGCATATTCTCATCCCTGGAACATAAAAGCGAGAAGTTCTGAAACAGCCCCGGGAACTCGATCTCGCGACAATAGCCGTGGAAGAAATCCCAAAACGACCCGCGAAAATTCGTGATCGAAAATGTTGGGAAATTCTTGGCAGCCTTGGAACTCTTGAACGTCTTGAAAATATCGTGGGTGGTTCGTAACTCGTGGCACGAAGGGAGGTTAGGGAGATTTTATGACTCGGCGCGAAACGAAATTGCGTTGGAAGCTTCATTTTGGAGAAAAATGATTTTGCACAATCGTGGGCGATAATGGATGCTCGTATACGATATTCGATAATTTACGATTCCATATATTGTCGAATATAGTATGATTACATGTCGTGTAATCAGATAGAATCCTATACTTTTTTGGTGAAAAAAAAAATTTCAAATCGTTCTGGAAAAATTATTTTTAATTGCAGGGGTCAATTACAATCCTTTTTGGTGAATAGACATACCCTCGAAATTCTACGCGTTTCCGAGAAAAAAATTCTTTACCGAAAATTCCATGTCTGACCATACCGCTGAGCTGTTTCACTGAAATTTCATGAAAAACTTTAAAATGTCATAACTTTTGAACGGATTGGACGATTTTAATGTTTCAAAATGCAAACAACGCGTATTTTGGTGTAGAATATGTAGAGATTTAAAAAATATTCGAAAAGTTGTTTCTTAACCCCGAAAAGTGAGAAAAACCCCATAAAAGTGATCCAATTTTCAAACGACCGTAACTCCTACAATAGTAAATATATTTCAATGAAATTTTAAGGAGAAGTAGAGCTCATGGGTATCTACAAAAAAGTACTAACAAATTTATTAAAAATCAAAACCGAATTTTTAAGAAAAATCGACAGGTGTTAGGTGCCTAAATTTTTCGTCGAAAAAAAAAATATTTCAAATCGTTCTCGAAAAATTATTTTCGGCTGCGGGGGTCAATTACAATCATTTTTGGTCAATAGACATACCAACGAAATCCTACGCACTTTCGAGAAAAAAATTCGAGTATGTGGCTGTGGCATCGGATAGGGTGCCTTAGTATTTATGGACCATATTCAATCGTATATGCTCGTGTCTTACGTGAATCTGATTCATATTTATTCGTGTATGACCACATGCATTCATACTATATATATTTCGAGAGAAAACTTAAGAAAATTGCACAATAGGATTCGATATAAATACTTATTCGTCTCTAAACGCGAACACTTTTTATTCGCGTCGATAAAAGTAGTAATACAGTTAATTTAAGAAACCATACAATCCACGCTGAGAAGTTCCGTACACAATGGTTGCTTCTCCCAAGCACTTGCAAGCGAAACACAGCAATAAATCCTTGAAAGAAATTTAAATAGAACTGTTTCCTGGCACAGATATTAACCGTGCACTTAAATATCCCCAATTCTTTTTGTACTTCGTGAAATCGGACGCTTATCAGCGAGCCACGGAAGTTTCTAATCGTCGTTCGAACAGCAGGCACGAAAAGGAACCACGAATTGCGTTCCAGCGGCAAAACCGACTGGCGTGCTTCCTTTCTTTCCACAATATTTTTACTCGACCGCCATGCAAAGTGTCCACGGGCACGAAACGCGATCCTGTGTGTGCTTTTAGCTTGGACAAGATAACCAACAGTATCGAATCAATTTCCCGTGAGGCACAGGACACGTCAGCCACGTGATAAACTACCCTCCACAAAGATGGCCTAAATAGGCGCTCGTCGGCTACCATTAGTTCAGTTTTCTCGGCGATTCCAACGAATATCTTCGCGGGAACGCGATTAATATTATCTACGTCGCTGGCCAAGGAAATAAAAACGATTCATTAATTAGCGAGAGTCGACGTTTAACGAGCAACAGGATTTTTAATTTGATTTCAACGCGATCGCGATCACTTTTTCCCTTACATTTTCTCGGCACGAATTTATTATATAACCAGCTACTATGTTGCGAGGAAATCGATCAACAATTCTCATTGCGACATTCAAGCCACGTAAATTACAGTGGAGGGACAAATTATTAGTTCTACATTATTCTTAGCTCCCAGGTAACTCTACATTTTGATCGGTTGCCCGATGAAAATTCTCATAATTTTATTATTACACAAATTTAAAAAGCAACCTCTATTTTTCGAAACTTTATCGCGGCGTTCCACCTCGACAGTTACTTTCAACTAACAATTTGGCGACTCACAATTTTCAGTGCGACATTTCAACTACGTAAATTACAGGGGGACGTAAAATTGTTTCTAGATAACTCTTTACGTACTAATCAATCGTCGTACATTGTAATACCAATTACGTTCACGGTTCACCTAATATTTTTCGAACCTTCGTCGTGGCTTTTCACCTTAATAGTTATTTTTAGGACAAATTTCTCGGCCAAACGCGAGCATTTTTCAGACGAACGGAACGCTGGCCGCTCTTTTCCCGTCCGTACTGTTTTCGTTCTTGTCGAAATTCCGTTACCGAGCGAACGGAAAACAAGCGCGCAACAACGAAGCTTTTTTCTCCCTGGAAAATTGCATTTCGTCGCGGCCATCGGATTTTTAATAGGGGAACGGAGAGACAGCATTAAGCTTCGCAGAGGATGCGCGGTCAGTCGTAATTAAGCTTTTGCAGTCCAATGTCGAGGCGGACTCGACGTTGCGTTTTATCCAAAGCTCCATATCGAGCCGGCCTCGAGACTAAATTTTATAATAATTTCCATATGTGTTAAAATATACTGTCACAGACGTAATTTCGTTTCTGTAAACGCATCCTCCGGATCAGTGGTTTTTAACGGTCCTCGAGCGACCCCAGATAGATTTCTGGGGATCCACAAACTTTATAAATAAAGCAAATAAAACGTTGAATATTTCTTTAAATATTTGGTGACCATCTTTAACCGTGGACAGACTTTGTTCGTTTAATAAGATCTTGAAACGCGAAACTTAAATATAAAGCGACCCGCATCGTCGTAGTCGACTGCTCTGGCACTATACTGACGAGCATACTGACGCTACCAAACTACTACAAACACAAAACTTTTAATTAAAGTCTGGGAAACGGAGGCTTATCCTGACGAAACTCATTAGGGTTTTCTATAACTCCGAACCATCCCGAAAGCGATTTGTACATCCGTCCTCTTTCTAATTTAATTCGATACCAGAAATTAAACTTAAAACTACACGGTTCTGATTGTACGATATATACATCTTCTCGTCAACTGTTCCAACAACGCTAATTAATCCCTCTGGACCGAAGCAGTGTGTCGAGTGAAATCGTGGAAAAGTTCACGTACGAAATTCTGAAACTCCGAGTTATGGACGTCGTGTATGGAATCGTCGGTACGGAACGGGTTAAATGATCGCTATGTCGCCTACGTCGGCGGTGCAACGGTTCAAGATTTTCCGCAGCTTTCGAGTAGTTGGCTGCGTGACGAGGGAAACGTTCAACAACATCTCCAGAGCGGATTCGAACGCCGCTAATTAATCCGACGACTAGCGAAGTTGCGAGGTAAAACGGTTCCCTGCGAACGGGAAACGACGGAGCAAGAGTTGCGAGGAGGTAAGTCAACGAGCACCTTGAGAGAAAGTTTGTCAAGATCTTAAATCAAAAGTTCACCGTGCAAGCTGTTGCCTGAAGGATGATATATAACGTCACCTTGGCCGTACGTTGCTCGCCGAAGAATTGTATTAATAAGTAAATAGTCGGCGTAGCACCGGGAGGGACGCGTCGTCGAGTTTCATGGACGCGCGTATCGACGGCGTTGCGAGTTTCAGAAAATTCTACCCATCGATAAAACTGCCAGATCGAAATTAATAAGGCCGCTCGAAGATAAACGACGCGGATAACGCGGACGTCTTCGATAAAAGCCGCGAGGTTAGATTCGTAGATGGATCAATTTATCGCCATTTTGTTCGCGCGAGTTCACCTGGTATGGAATATAAAAATTGATATTAATAATAGAATCTTTCTGACTTTGCAGACGTCTGGACGTGATTAATTTGAGGATGAGATTGTATTTATGTAACTCTGGATAGCGAGGATAGTGGAACGAGAAGACAGAGAATGGAGAACATTTTCGTTTGCGAGGGAAAATAATCAGGACACCAGACGACGGATATAGAATTACTTTCTTCGTTCGCCGAAAAGCGAGTTGTATCTCAGGATCAGAGTAAGAAATTGGATCCAGGGATCGTTTTAGTCCTTGGTTGCTCTCGAAGGGAACGGGGGATTTTGATGGATTCCTCCGGGTGTAATCAGGCGTGGACATTTTATAAGAAATAAAAATCTCAGATTAATTTACGACCATTCTAATTGATCGTGTCGTTTTTTTTCTTTTATCGTGCAACTTCCAAGGACGCCCACGCGTTCACGATGGCTGCTTCCATTTCGACACACGAACTGTTGACCAACCTTTTAGGAAACCCATATACAATTGTTTCACGAGAAAGAGTCGGTTAACCCGTAGAAGGATCAGCGGCCGTCCCATTTCGATCTTCCAGCCTCTCTTGTTGCTGTCCCACAGACGGTTCCCTCCATCATTTACCCCCCCCCAAAATCCATTTGTTTTCATCCCGTGGCGGCTTGACGAGGGAAACGCCGCGTTGAGTGGAATTGGACGGAATTGTGGCCAATTTTGGGGAAATAGCCACGGTTTCGGGTGCTGTACCACGGTTCTTCTCAATTTCCACCCTGACGGGATTATTCTGGAAGACGAATTCCTCCAACCTTTGTCTCTCAGCCCGGGATAAGTGTGTTTCATCGTCGATGAAATATTCCCTGAGCCAGATACAGCTTTTCATCGCTACTGAAATTTATTTGCGATGATCCGAGGAACGTTTATCGTCCTGAATTCTCTGAATTATTTCTGTATTTAATTTCTTGGTGCATGAATTCTGCACGTCCAGAATGTCAGAACGATGCTGTGCACGAGTCCTTTATTACGCATCCTTTGTTCCATAGCTGGAATCTGTCCAAGCAGCCATGTTTCTCATTCTGATATCAAATTG